AAGTACGTTTAAGATAAAAAAAAATACTTTTCATACTTAAGTACAATAAATATCACATACTTTAAGACTTTTACTCAAGTAATATTCTAAACGGTGACTTCAACTTCTACCAAAGTCATTTTCTGGTAAGATACCTGTACTTTTACTTGAGTATGGCTTTCAGGTACTTTATACACCACTGATTAATACATTGTAATAAAAACACATAATTTATTACTATTATTACATTTTTTTAATTGTAAGCTTCAAGTTCTGTCAGTTGAGCTTTACTTGTTATTGAACCCAGGATGCTGGGCATGAAAGTGCATTATGAAAATAACAAGAAACAAACAAATAAAAATGTAACCTGGAATGCTAATAATAATAATAAATGATTTAATATACACTAATGCTGTATTATTAAATACTAATATTTGTAATTATTAATAAATATATAAAATATACACAATAATAACAATATAAAGTTAAAAAAATAAATATAATATACATTATGTATAATTTATAATACAATTCATAATACACATTAAACCATTTAATCCCATCGGCCACAATAGTGACCGGTTACCGGTAACTGACTGGTGTTTTAGTGCATTTCCAGCAAATATGGAAAAAATAAAGAGTCTCAACTAGTGTCACATGGTTAGTGCAAATTGTCACATAACCAGGGCAGTTTACTTCCTGTTTGCACCATGAGATGATGATGGCTGCATCAAAGCTCCAAAACAAAAGGTTAGTAAAGTATGTTAACAAAGATATGATTTGCTAGAAGATTTTTGGTACACATTATCTTTAAGGTGTCTAGTATTAATATATGCATTTACAATTATTCAGTTTTGTTGAGTGTGGTTATAGAATGAGTAAACATGTTGAAGGCAACAATAGTGGCCGGTGGGATATCTTTTTTTTTGTCTTTTATCTCAGTATACCTATCAGTGTTGTCAAAGGGGTTTTATGTATAATAGTAACCCTAGTTTAAATTGGGTTAATAACTGGGCTGAGATATATAAGAACTTTGATGACTACAGAAATAACTGAATTTCAATATACACATTATCCCACAGGTCACAACTGTGACCAACCATAAAACTCACACATTTCCATAAAAATGTCAAAAAAGAATTATTGATTATTTCAAGGGGTTACTAATGACACATCCTTTGGATATTTTCATGTCTGTGAAAAATTTGGGAGACAATATGTGACCCTGGAGCACAAAACCAGTCTTAAATCGCTGGGGTATATTTTTAGCAATAGCCAAAAAAAAAACATTGTATGGGTCAAAATTATTGTTTTTTCTTTTATGCCAAAAATCATTAGGATATTAAGTAAAGATAATTTTCCATAAAGATATTTTGTAAATTTCCTACTAAATAGTTGTATCTCGGCCAAATATTGTCCTATCCTAACAAACCATACATCAATGGAAAGCTTATTTATTCAGCTTTCAGATGATGTATACATCTCAATTTTGAAAAATTGACCCTTATGACTGGTTTTGTGGTCCAGGGTCACATATATATATATAAATAATCAAACTATACTAACATTAAATTGCATCGGTCAGTCAGTGTACCCAACCTTTTTTTTTTAATTATTATTATTTTTTATTAAATAATAATATTAAAATTTAATTAGATTTAATGATAAAAAATTCATGGTTGATGGTGAGTCTTATGATACTGTTTATGACGGAATTATGACTTTTTATGTTTTGGGTCTAATTTGGTAGTTTGAGACTCACTCCGATGATCAACAAGCTTTGCACCATCAAAGACACCCGATTTTCATTTCTCTCATGAACTTACACCTTTCAATTTCATTCATTCTTCACACATTCTCTGTGGTATAAAACAGTCTTCATGGGATTTTTAAGCGTTCATCCTTATACATCAAGATTTCCCAAGGGATAGAGAGATAGTATCATATTCTGACTCTGCTCTGACATGTAAATCACAAATCCTGAGTGAGGGGGCTGCTGACGGGCTCTGGAGCGAGTGTGTTTTAAAACCCTCATCACGTAGTCCTCAAAACACTAACAGCTTCATTCGCTATCCAAATTGCTGCAAGTCAGGCTGTCACCGTAGCAACCGCAGCTGCTACCCTGCCAGTTGCCAATCATAAAGAATAGCATCCTTTGCGTCCTGCGACATATATGCACATTGTGAAGCGTAACCCAAATAGTAAGTGGTGCTTTGAGGAATAATCATAGATGGGAGGGAGTCAAGTGGGAGAGGAGGCTATATTCAAGCTGAGGTAATTGCAGGCAGATGGAGAGGAAGTGATTTGCTATAGAATATTTCTGCTTTCTACAGGGTTTTTCAATCAGGTTGATGCAATGTGTGTATGCAGGAGGACTCACGTAGCCCTGTTTCTGTGCAGACCCTCAAATCTGAAGCATTTCAGTCTAGAAAAAAATACAGATAATGAGAGGCTATGGGTCAAATCCATTTTAACAGTAAACCAGTCGTCTTTGAACGTCATAAGAACAAGTTATTCCTTTATTTAGAAATACTTCCTGACACACTCTGTTTATTTCATACTGCAATAAATATATAAATAGAATTGAATTAATTATTAATTTAGAGATACTTCCTGACTCACTGTTTATTTCATACTAACCAAATATAAAAAAATAATTAAAATGTATTTATTATAATTTAGATATACTCCCTGACTCAGTTTATTTCATACTGAAATAAATAAATACATAAATAAATAAATAAATTCCTGACTGTTTATTTGCGGTTTATTTCATACTGCAAAAACAAACAAATAAATAAATAATAAAATGATTATAATAAAACTAATAAATAAACATCAAAAAAATAAAACGTGAAATAAATTTCAAACATATGCTATATATGTTGTACAATTATATGTTGCAAACTGCACATCTTAAGGAAATATGTTTAAGCCTTGAATGCCAAAATAATATATGTACTTATAGATTACAAAATGTAGTTCAAGGGGCATCTAAACATTTACAAACTTAAAATACATTTCAGGTAAATGTAAAATTGATTAAAATATAATAATAATAATAATATATTGTATATTTGGACATACAGTTAAATACATATTGATGAAAAAATTATTATTTGTTTATATTTGAAATCATATTCTGTCCAGTATGGGATTAAACATCAAAGAAATTATTTTTTAAATTATTCAGTTGGAACATAATCTTAAATTGTACCTAATAGCGTACATTTTACTGTAGCTGACATTTTACTGCATGTCAACGGTCGATGTCAAGATGTTGACCGCAAGCAGATCCAGTGAAGTAGTTACGGAACAGCAAATGACTTTGGCTTGTTTATTTCTGTTTTTATGTATGTCAAGTCCTAACTCACATAATTAGGGGTAACATGGCTACGCTGTGAGCGACACGTAGCAGTGCCACAGATGAGTCACGCCAACATGATTCACACAAACAACCCTCATTATCATCTGCACCCCATTACCTCTAATAGCCAGACCCCTCTCATCTGTTTTCTATTTCAAAGCACAATTATGACTTTTCAACAGAAATTACCATCTCACGTAACGACACGTAATATTGACGAGATTTTGCAGCGTTGCAGAAGCAGTAGCCTATGCATTCACCAGCCTCACATGAGACATTTTTTTCAAGCCAAGTGGAGCACTGGAATATTTGGGCAGTTCACCCAGCTGCCATGGCAACAGCAATTTTACAGAGGCACAGGCCTATGGTTAGATGCTTTTCACTTCGCCTTCACCAACCAACGGCTGGGATTCGGGCCAATCCGTTTATCTCTACTATGCAGTGTGGTAATAATGCAGTGAGAGGGAATGTATGAGGTGTAGAGCTTGATGAGTGGGGATTCCCTCTCCTAAACTGCACATTAACATCAATGCTTTATTAAAAAAATAAAATAAAAATAAACTTACTGACCCCAAATTTCTTAATGACAGTGTACATGGCTTGTAAAATATTTTAAAATAAAAATAGTTTTCTCAGTATGACTAACATGTCAACTAGGGCTGGGTTTTGACACAAATTTCACAATTCGATTAGATTCTCATTCACAAGCTTGCGATTCGATTCGATTCAATATCGATTATTTTGGATATATATCAGGTACAGTGCATGCCAAATTTTCTCAAGGAAAAAAAACCTCTCAACTAATGCTGCCAAATATACATGAGAGTCAGTTACTACATTACTATAATATTGAAGTTTAAAATTGACTGATTTGTTCAAATTACACTTAATGAAGTTTTTAAAATAAAGTTACAATTACATAATATTTCTACTTCAATTAGTTTTTTTTTAATATAAACATAATGGTGGCTGTCATAAAATCTTGATGGATTTATTCAAACATAAATTAAACATTGAAGAACAGTAACATTTATAATGAATATGTTATATGGTGCATATAGCAAAATGCCCCTCTCTACAGTTTATTTTTCTAGCTGACTAATGAGTTTATGGTCACCGAATATGTTTTTCTGAGGTAAATGTGACGTTACGTGACATTGTTTACAAGCCATTATTGATGCCTTTGCGTGGTTGAAACACTGACTGAGCGATTACATGAGACAAGATACGGCTTGTAAAGTTGTACTCTTTCTTTAAACTTACCTTCGGATGTTTAATCATGTTTATTTTGTGCTGAAACTGTTGAATTAAGGCGCTACAGCGATCTGTCACTCCACATTAAACAGCGCCAAAACGGCATTTATTGTTTGAATACGGTAATACAATGGACAGAATTTTAAATCTCAGACTTTGTTTCATATTATAAGCACCAAAGCACAATGCTTATCACGATATATTGGATGGGACGTTCTGTCCCCTTCAATGTTCCGTCCATTAACTGAAAACAGGCTAGAATAATCGATTCTTGGGATTTAAGAATCTATATCGTTCCGTAAAAATGAGAATCAATTAATATCGAGATATCGATATTTTTTTACCCAGCCGTAATGTCAACAACTATGCAAAAAAGGCAAAGAAACTGAAGTGAGCTCTCGATAAATTCATTTATTTTTTTATTTTTTTTGCACAATGAATGACATGAACAAGATCAACTGTATTTTAAGTGCTCAATACTGCTCACCGGAGATGGCTGCACAAAATGAGCTTTACAGTAAGAAAAAGAAGAAATAAAAAAATTAAACTACAAGATCATGAACGGCAAACATGACCAAACACATGCAAGCTTATATGTATGTACATATGTACAGGCTAGTACTTGTATTTATAAACATGTCTGTATACACAGTTACACAAAAAATGAATGTGTATACATACATTCTATGTACAATGCATATGTTTGTGTATATCAGTATTTATTCTTTTCTATATACGTCCATTATTTGCTATTTTAAATATCCATACAATGTACAAAATGCTTTATGAATTTAAAATCCATTACAAAAAAACATATCAAACAATGTATAAGATCTTATTCAAATCGAAATTCAATACTGCTTGACTTCTTCAAAATTTGTATGCATACAATCAAATAGAGCATGCAGATACAGAAATCAAAATTGTCATAACACCATATGCATGAATTTAGACAGCGATAAGAGCTTCTGTTGTGTCCTCGTTCGGAATATTACTTTCGATTAACACTTCACTTGCATTATAACTTCATTAATAGCGATACAAACTAAAATACGACACTACATTTGAGTGGATGACATTCTCTCGGTGACCTCGGTAATATTTACTCTACACAAAGTCGCTATTGTCGTTTAGGAGCAGGAACATAAAAAAATACACTTAACTTCACAAGGCACCACTTATCAGCTGGTGGAGAAAATATATCTGGCATTTAAACAACCATAGAAGCCGAGCAAATTTGAGCTGCCGGGCCTTGTTACCAAAGCCATGTTTGACTAACCTACTATTATAATCATGTTTCAGAAAACTGCTACGGTGTACATTTTGTGTTAAAACATAGCTTTTCGGTGCTTAAAGCACTAATAAAAGGTCAACATTTTTGGCAAATGTTCGCAGGTGTTTAGCGGAACCAGCGCAAATGGATGCATCCTACAAAAGGTCCAGTACAACTGGCTGAGGCAAATAGCTGCCGGCATATATTATTTTTATTTAGCTTTAATGCACTGCAAATTATCACAAGGACAGAATGGCTCATGGCATGTTCAGCAACTATGTGTGTCCTACTTTGGACAACTGTGAGTGCAACATATTGACATGACTCTTAGGCATGATTCACAGCAACCTACAGATGGTAGACTATTTACAGGGGACAACTTGTTGAATTGAAGATTTGATTAAGGCTGCACTGCTTAGAGGCTGATTTTCCTCCCTTACACAATGACTAGAATTGCAAAAGAAATGATAGTCAGATTTAGCACTATTAATTTGAACGGTTCAGATTTCAAATTTCAGTAAGACCACTTCATTTAACAGAAAGCTTACAAAAGAGTCGATGCTAAAGAGTTATGCGTCAGTGGATTCACAGCAATAACCTGATGCATAGTAAATAAGCATGTATTCATGTTAACAACCCTGCGTGGGTTTGGTTAGAGAGATATTTTGAGTGTCTTCAGGTGTACTAGATGTGCTGTCTGATCACTGAACTGTATATTTATGCATATAAATATATGTATATAGTCAAAATGAAGCCTATATTATACTGTAGCGAGACCTGTGAAGGTGTACCGAGATGATGAACACATTACAACCAGGGCAGCAAACTATTATGTACATTTTAGACTGATATCTTGCCATTGTGTGTTCCAGTACCTGAACATGTTATGGATTTATAGACAAACATAAGGCACATATATGGATAAACCAAGAAATCATTAACAAATGGAAAGCTATTCAAATTAGGACCACATTCAAATCTATCCTGATTCCAAATCGCTTATATCAGTGTAACTCGAGTCTAAAACAGGACATGTATTTGATTAGTTTGTGATGTCCTATGTTCAGGACGATCACCTAAATATTCTTCAGTGTACATTCTGGTTTATTTTTCCAAACGACTAATCGACAAATAAGCACACCACCACACCATTCATAGTAATATACACAAGCGGTTAAACTGAAACCGATCTATCCTATGATACACGACTACACTGAAACTTTGGTCATGTGGATATGTAATACTGACAGGTATATAGACATACTATTATTGTTTAGTTAACAAGAGCAGGCACATTCTCAAAGAGACTCTGGAGAAGGCGACTCGAATAATGAAAATATCATCCAGATGCTGACTATTATTTAAAGCGAAAAACCAACTGTGACACTGTACAACTTCAGCCCACTCAAACGTGTTCTACAAAAAAGAAAGAAAAGAAATAAGTGCTTTGTTGGTTTTAAATGCAACCGTAGCATTTTTCATTGAGCCTGTTGTGAACTACTGGCATGTGTTTTGATGTCCTGTGTCATCAACAAGCCTTCGATCTGCAGTGATTCCACTTCGTTAAGATTACACGACTAAATACGTTTAGTTTTTCCATTTGAACAAGCTTTCTACTTCTATTTGGTTAAAAACAGAACAAAAAAAAAAACATTTAAAACTTTATATGGTTTTTGATTTGATATGCTGACAGTATAGGTAGATCTAAAATACTTTGAATTTGAAATATTAGTAGAATATGTTGCTATGTACAGTGAAATGATAGCCATCAAAACATCACTGAAAAGGGTTTCATCCAAAAGTATTGCCATTAGTTCATGCCTGAAACACACCTGAGCGCAGGCAAACCTGTGTTAGCAGTGAGTTACCGGTGACCTGCTGTTTGAAATCAACCTTTGCCAGAAGATCTGTGCTTTGTGCTTGAGTGAAACGAAAAACGAGAAAGAAAAAAAGTGCACAGTACTGTCATTGAAGTCCATTTACATGTGCTGGTAGATTATGGCTACAGCCATAGTATCAACATCCTCATGGTTATGGGCTTTGGGAGAGTAAAAGTTCAGTTTGTCTCCTTGAGACCAATAAAAAAGTATGCGACAGAATCGTACAAACCGAAAGCGGAGCTTTTTAGACCACAACCATGATCCAAATTCTCAGCGAATGCCCATCAAAATGTGTCAGTAGAATAAAAAAAAAAAAAAAAACGATACAAAGACCCAAGCACAAGGCTAACTCGCAGTGCACTGTCATGACTTCTCTAATGTGAGGTGAGAGTAGCTTCTTCTCTCTTGTTCCCTCTTCCTTTGCGGTTTGGGCGCTCGATTTGGAGCTCGGGCTGAACTTTGTGCCAGTGCTTGCATCCTTGCGTGGACAGCGTGTTGGTTTGGGATCTGGCCATGTGTACCACTGACTCAATGGCATCTGTGATGGAGTCGTGATTGGAGAACTCAAGCTGAGCAGGAACCAGACCAGTGTGAAGGTTCTTCTTCCCAGGAAGATCCACACACTTCTCTAGAACTGGCATCTGACCCAGCAATCCCTCCTCGAGAGAAAGCGGCTGCTTCCTCGGCCTCCCTCTGCGTCTCTTCACCATGTTATTCCCTGTCTTGGCTTGCCTCTGAAGCCTCTTGACTTTCAGAATCTTGTTGACGTGATCCAGGTTCTTCTTGGTGGTGAGGATCTTAGAGAAGGCACACATTTTTTGCACGTCACACTGGATCTCCTCCACTTCTTTGCGCTTGTGCCTCCTCTTGTAGGAACTGGGGTCTGGCAAGGAATGGACAAAAGAAATCAATGAGAAAGACAAGCTAACGCTTATTCAGAACCAGTTCTGTTTTGAAAAACAATATTAGAGCTGAATGACTGAAAGTTTGGTTTCATTAATGGTTTTTGCTTCTGGAACAACAAAATAAAATACTCAAGTTTCCTGCATTTCTTATTCAATGACACAGCAACATTGCTAATACTGCACAAAATATACAGCACAGTTGTGACTCCCAAATAAATGGCTCTAATGAATGACTATTTAAAGAATCAAACACATACAGCTTTTACAACTACCTGTTAGATTTTAATCTGTAATTGGTTGTTCATTTGACAGTGTGTCGTTATAGATACATCATTTTGTATGTTTTTGTCAGTATGTGTGTAGTATTCTTCAATATGTAGTTAAGGACAGTTACTGGACTTCATTAATACCGCCTGTCTTTTAAAAAGTAATTTAAAAATCCATTAAAAGTCCTTTTGCAAGAACCTTTTTTAAAAATAATTTATTATTACAATTATCTCATCATTTGGCAACAGAATTGCATTTCTTTGTTCCAAATATTTAGTCCCTAAAAGTACTAAAAGAATCATTAATGGAACTATTAAGGAACTGGAATCATTAAAGAGGAATCAGAACTGAAACAATGAAATTCTTTATGGTTCCCATCTCTAACTAAAATGAGACACTGATTGTGAAAAATGTGCTAAGCCAGCCTGGTAAACATTTGGCAAGTCGTTTGTTATAATATAATTGATTCGCACATCATCTCACTAGCTGAAGCAGTGATATTTCTAAAGTAAACTCAAGACCTCAGAGTGAGTCATGACGTATGCAGCCAGACCGAGAGAGACAAACTTTCTTCTGTGCTTAATGATGTGACAATCCAATGTGTCAACACTCTAATTTGTATTAGCTGGTGTATAAATATTCTTGTATATACAGATCTGATAGCAATTGATACAGCCAAGCTTGTTGAGTCATGCAGTTTATCATTATCGGCTGTCAGTCTAACAGAGCGAAGCATTAATAAGCAAACACGTGAAAAATGCCCCACAAGGGGAGAAGATTGTGAAGCAACAGCTCACTTAACACTTGACATGTGGATAACTGCATCCATGCACATAATAAGGAAACATCAGGAACCTCCCACTTATCAGTCTATCAGTAAATATAGTCAGCGTTCACATTCACAATGAATAGATGCATCTGTAAATGTGAGTAATACACTATGAGGCCTCAGATACATTTGTGATTAATTTACTGCCTCTACACTTCACGTTGGAGCTTTGGAAGGAAGCCCAGATCAGAGGAAATGCTGGGTTTCTGGCAGCCTTGTTTGAAATGAGTTCAGACAGCCTAAAGCTGCCTAAAATGTGTGTTCCACATCTAAGATCTCTCCTGCACGCCTTTCATATCTCTGGAGAGGTCTCTTTTTCTCTTTTCTTGTTGATTGCCACTCCATCTGGTAGGTTTCCATGAAAACAAACAAGAGCTGTAATTGTGGAAGATGTTTGAGATCTATGCATTTCCAGGTTTCTCTTAAGACTGTCTTAAGAGTGCACCTGTAAAAACCCAAAAACAGGATATGCTCCATAATAATTCAAAATCCATCCTCAAATATCTCATTTAGCATTTAAGTGCATTGTTAAATCAAATAGCAACCACACTTCCTAAACAATGCATTTCTATATTGATCAATTTTAATAATATAATTTAATTGAAGCTTACCAGGGCTATTTTGGATGCAAGCTAAAAAAAATGTAAAAAAAAGTGCATGGGTCACTATAACCAGCTGTGCATGGGCTCCTTCAGCCCATTTGGTTTCAATAAAGTAAAATGTGTGCCTGACTAAACATGAGCCCTTCCCTCTCTGGCCTCAGTTTATCACTGGGAAACTTGCAGAGTCTTCCCAAGTACCAACAAATCATTGGACAGAGACATTCATTTTCAAAGGGAGTGTGACAACTCATTTATTCCCTGAAACCTCTACCTGCATCCTGTGCACAATGTTTTCATTAGAGGCAGCAATTTATGGACTTGCCTTGCCACTGTCCCCACAGCTCCGCTCTACACAGTAGTGGAGGCCTACTTCCTGTTGCCATGGCAACCGAATTCCACAGTTCAAAGGTAAGCGATTTACAAAAAAAATACAGGGGTGTAAGATCACATTTTTTTGTTCCTGCAAATTCTCTAGTCGACTGTCAAGGCAAGCTACTAATTTAATACACACAATCCTTGTTAAGCAAATGTGGGTGCAGACCTGATTGAAAACTCATCATCCACTGGCATTAGTAATGATTTTAATAGGGGTTTTCTTGCTTGCTGGAGTCTAAGTGCAGTGTAAAGAAAGATGAAACGCTATACCGGTACGATCAAAGGCAAATCCTTTGTGTAATTCCTGTGCTAGCAAATGAGTGGCATTAAGTTTTACATTAAAGCCTGCCTTACATAAAGAGGGTTTAGAGAGTTGATCTGTACATTGAGAGCCCCGTCAGAATTTCAATCCATACCATATGTGCTCACTGATGTATGAATTACTTTCAAGAGCCTGTCAAAGGGTGATATTTCTAATGAAGACATTTATTTAGCATTTTACATCACCTTATTCTTTGTGGAATGTACCTATGAGAACCCACACATAATTAATTGTTAAAATATCATGTAATATATTACTATCTATCTATCTATCTATCTATCTTTGATTGGGACATAGTAAAGTTAGGCAACAAGATATAATGCTTTTATGAAAAAACATCTGCTCCAAACTAGACACTCCCATCACAATGATTAATAGCCTTATTATAAAAAAAGGTGCTGTCGTCATGCCATGAATCCGTAGCAAATAGAACTAATTAACTGTAAATTAGATGTGACCTTAAATGCAAATTTGAGCATATAAAAACCCCATTTTGCTGCAATTTATTGCAGGCTAGCTATAATGCCACTGGCAAAAAATGTGACTGCCATAAAAAAACAGTTCTGTCAAAACTTGCTTATCTAAATCTGTTCTTTGAAATCAACACAGATGTAGACTTAGGTGGGATTTCATATTTCTCTGTTTAAGTACAACAAACTAGCTCTTTGAAGCATTGAGTTAATTCATGGAGGTGGGTGGTAGCAGGCAGAATTGTGAGTCATCCTCATAGTTCCCCTAGGGGAGTGAAAATGTAATCTAACTGTGCCTAGGGCTTGCAATTCCCCTTCAGTGGAGTAGACTGGATTCATTAAACCTCTGGCTTCTCTCCAGCTCTTTTAACAAGAGGCAAGGTTTTTTTATTGCATGTCTGTAGAATATAAATCAAAACGTGTGAATAATATATCTCTAAGAAAAAAACACTGGCAGGCAGGGGCGAAAAGGGAGGAAAGAGAAATTTGTGAATTATAGTTGTCTCCATCCATGCATTACACTTTGCTTGCCAGATGTACTGAAAACAGAATACAAAGTGTTCAGAAAGCACATTTGTTTTTCTACATTTTGTATTTAATAGCCGAACATAATTTCACTTGCATCCAACTAATCACAGCTTGGTAAACCAAATGTTCATGTTCATAATGTTAATTTATAACAAAAAATAAGCGAATCAATATCTTGTATGGATCTTGCATTTGTCTGTATGCATTTCATGGAGACATATATATTTTTACCTGCTACAGCTGTGTTGGAGCACTTGTACATCTGCTCGGCCCTCTCTTCTCTGCCTCCTTGGAAAGACACCATGCTTCCTTCTCTGTATGCTGCAAAGTCCTCCAAGCTATGCCTCCTGATGTGAACACTAGAATCATCATCCCCTAAGTGCTGCCCCTTGAATGAGTCCAGCGAATGGTCCTGGCTTGCTCGCAGGCGCTCGTGTGGTTGTCTGGTGCAGATGTTCAGGAAGTTGTTCAGTGTCTCTCCTCGAGTGCGTTTACAATGCTGAGAGTCAGATAAGGACATTGATGAGAGTGTGTCTACTTCAAAGTAGTTCCTGGAAGTTTCTGGCGAAGCATCTGTGCCTTGCTTGCCTCTTTGCTTGTCCTTCAGTTTGGACAGAGAGTTCTTCTCAAGTCTCTCATTCAAGAGGTTGAGGAAGGCAGGACTCTGGGCTCCACTGAAGAGCCCACAGAGGTTCTCCCTCTGTGGGATGTACTGATCCTCTTTATGTTTGTACTTATGTTTGTGCTTGCGTTTGTGGAGACAGACGCTTCCCAAACAGCTGCTTGAAGGGTGATGGGAGTCACTCATTCTAGATGAAGGCATCTCATGTGGCATATTCTTCGCTCGATGTCTGCTAGGAGCAGCGAGACTAGAGGACGCACCAGGGTGGAACTTTGGTGGAGGGACTGGTGGCCTCATGAATGGAGAGGCTGAAGGTCCAAGTGCATGAGATAAGTACAAGGGTGAAGGGTACTGACCGTAATAGCCCATGTTTACCATACTTGTGGCAAGAGGCGTGGATGTATAAGGCATCGCGTAGGGTGCATAGTAATTGCCACTGGGCACTGTGCAGCCAATCCCTTGAATGAAAGGCATCTTTGATACTGGCTCGTTTGACTTGGCTGGCCGACCACGCCTCCTCTTTGACTTATCAGAGCTCCTGCGAAGATAGTGCACAGGGTCGTAGGGATAGTATGGCATAGGATAGTATTGGTCAAAGTTGAGACGGAAGATGCTGGGATAGGAATTCTCATGGTAGAACTTGTAGCTGCGGTGGGAGATTCGGAACAACTGGAATTTGCTAACCAGCTCCTCGAGGTCAGCCATAAACTGCAGGTCGTCCCGGTTCTGGATCGTCTCCACAGTAAGTAACGGCTGTTTTTTGGGCCGGCCACGTTTCTTCTTCACTGGGGTAATGACTGTCAAACTGTTTGTGTTTGTGTAGAGTGGGCTGGATGGGGTAATAGGGAAGGCAGAGGGTGGCTCTTCGATGGACAGAGATTGATTCAAGTCTTTATGAGGAGAGGAGTTCTGGGACTTTAAATAAGACCACCTGTCCTTGACCTTTGATTGCCGACCCTCTGTTTGCTTGTCGGCATCAATCACTGATCTTTGTCTCCCAGCTGGTGTTTTCCTCGGTCTATTCTGAAACATCTCAACATCATCAGTCACTGTCTCAGCACTGTCTTCCTCAATCTCCTGTAACTTTACACCAAATTGTTTTGGTGCACTGAATTCTATTTTCTTTGTAATTTTAGGTTTTGTGCTCCCTTGGTCAGTTTTATCAGTCTTCTCAGCTTGCTGTGTGGTTTGTGCATCAGATAACAAGTTGTTATCGTCACCTACTTTTCTGTTTCTTCGCTTTTTACTCCTAGATTCATCTGCATGATGAGTGCCACAGCTTGATGTTGTCTTACTCTCATCATCCGGCCTACTGCTCGACTTCTCAGGCTCCTCTGTCTCAAATTCACTTTTATCAGTGTTGTATGGTTGTTTCTCCTTAGCATTATCTTGGTTTTCAGTATCTCTGTCCATCTTTTTGGCCCACTGAAGGCCTAAATTATGCGTGGTCAAGGCCTTCATTGGGTCTTTCCTTCCATATTTACGTTTGATGTTCCCAAAAATTTGCTCAGTGACTTCCTGCAAACCTCTGTCTTTACTAAAAGAGAACAGACTTGAGTCAGCTGGGGGACTCATTACTGTATCAACTGGAGATGATGCTAGTGAGTCAGTGCTTGGGGAAGACATGGCAGAAGCAAAGAGACTTCCAGATGAACTGTCTATGACCTTTTTAACTTGCGATTTTGAGAATGGGGTGTTGGGCTCTGACAAAGGGCTCTTGTTGGTGCACACTGATTCTCTTTTTGATTCTGGTTCTGTCCTATGCTGTTCTTGGGACACTGCTTTTTTAACAGTATCCAACGGCTTTGTCCAGTCAAGGTGGTGAATGTCACTGCTTTTAGACTCATGCTTTGGTTTTGCTTTATCCATCATCACGTTGTCCGTTTTACCCATAAGTTTATAAGGCCTCTTGTAGGTCTGAAAATGAAAGACAAAATAAATAATTTAGAAAACGAACCAACATTATGTCCAGCTCATACTAAGAAACATTTGAAGAGTAAATCTACACATGCTCATCATATTCTTACACTAGGTAACTTGACAGAGAAACATTCACACCCCATATAAAAAACTATAACTAGGAACCTACATGTTGTTACTGATAACAAACTACTTTTTAGCTGCCAAGTTCTCAGCTTGTGGGCCACACCTACTGAAAGCTTATAATACTGTGCACCATTGTGCAAGCCTTTGAGACTTGTGGTTTGGTCTGTTAGAAATAACGTATTGCAAGATCAGCACTTGATACTAGGATATGTTCTGTAAAGCCATCCTGTTTTCAAAGCCAACAGCTACAGGCGGTAATGAAGTTTAACCACAGTTTTGTTTTTTAGCAGGTCAACTTCCATTTTAGAGCTCTGCAGCTGAGGCTAAGACAGTCTATGCTGCGGTTTCAGATTAGTTTACATCTGGGGTCCCAGTGTTTTCAACAGGCTCACAACAGGAAAGAGACCAAAAAGACCAAATTCAAAATGTACCTTTAGAAAATACTACATGTACCTATTTATGTTACTGCATTAAATAGAAGAGGAAAAATCTGCTGAGAACCACCGTAAAAAGAGTATTTAAATGTTTAAAGAAAGTTGTAGGAATAAGTTGTTACTTTGGCACTCACACATTTGATTACATCAGTAGAAGATAATTTAGTCTCCTGGAGTTTGGTTTGTTTGGGTCAGAGCATAGCGAATGAAAGGATTTCTTACATAAACCAAAGAAATGCATGGAAAGACAAATGTGGGAAAATAGTTTAGAAGAGTTTATGTAAGTGCCCTTGAAAGATGACATCCTGGAGTGATGAAAGATCTGTCTCCAAACAACAGTGAAAGTGAGATGAACTGAGCTGAACTATATACCACAGAGAGAAAGCACATTAGACTCAAAAATTATAAAAATTTTAGTCACTTTAGGTGCGATTAAACTAATGACTTAACTAATTTTTAAAAATCTTGTAATCAAAGCCAAATAGATTTTTTACATTTTGAAGAAAATGTGAGGTACTTCTCATTGTGTCAACTTGCCACCATGGTGCATGGGTGTTGTGGGTCATTTTCAGGACAGCGGTAAGCAGTTTCTAAGGTGTTCTGATGTGTCAATGCATGTTACCTAGTGCATATGCTCTGACCTACTGGGCCTGGCAAAGGGAGCTCAGAACTGGCTTGTAACATTTCCAAATCCTGTTTCTCTCTCATCACCCCCTAATTTCACTGTTCTCCACTGTTTTATGAATAATAGTGCCAAAAATGCAACAACAAAAAAACACACACACAACAAAGATGTATCTGGCAGAAGGAGAACTTTAGTTTTGTCTTTTTAATGTATTGCTCTTAAAACCAATTCGAGAACCACACGAGCTATCTTTGACAGGTTAAATGACCACAGACAATTATGCAGTCCATTGGCAAACCTTATAATGGCGACCTGCCAACCTCTCACACTATTTGGAAGCACTTTTTTGTTCCTCCTCTAATCAGCCAAGAGGAATGCATCACTTAACTTCTCACCAGCTCTTGAACGAGCCAGGCAGGCAAGACTTTTATCTGCCATGCACAGCCCTCACCTAAGATATCCCAGCATGCTTTGGGAAGACTTGCATGTGTGCGTGTTTCAGGAGTCACCCCTCAGCCTAATCCTCTCCGATATCACTCAATCAGTAGTTTTTAATTAAAGGGAAGCAGACATTAATGAGGGATCGCTCCTCTGCCAGCCTTGTCCTTTTTATTTCCCCCATCTGTGAGAAACTGCATCACCTTTCAGATTCCTAATCCTGTAATCCTATGAGGAATTTGCGGTCTCCCCCGGCCCACAGGATACAGTCTCCGCTGTTGAATGACAAGTCTCCTGGCTGCCCTTTAATTTGCCTAAATGGCATTATACCCCCCCATCTCCAAAACAATATCTGGGGGATATGGTGTAACCTCGGCATTGAGGATGTCAAAGCTTTTCTACAAACTCACTGAGAAACTCAATATCCGTCTAAGAGAGCGACAAGAAAGAGCTTTCTTAAAACCAGGAACTGTCATCTTTATCATTTGCCTGTCATATTCCATTGCTTTCACCAGGATAACTTCTAATTTGTAATCTGACATGAATGAGACATGTAAATAGAGTTCCTTTTTTAAATAACAAGTGTCAAACATACAATTCAAATGAATTACAATCAGAAGAAGAGAGGAATGAAGCTGGAGACAGTGCGCAGCAGTTTTACGTTACAAATATGCCATTGCTTGGTGTAAATACACCACAGCATATTGTGTCAATGTGTTGATGGTGAGTCCCTCACCAAATAATAAAAATCTCTGCAGTCATAAATGACTTATGAGCCCTCTGATGAGCACTTCCTATCTGTTGTAAACAGAGCAGCAGTTCTGGCAGGGCCACTGGGCAGTCTGGCGCAGTAGGCATCAAATCCTGGCGGACACCATTGCACTCAAAGCCCAGAACTGCAGGAGACGAGTCAGTCTCAGACCAGATAAACAGACAGGGAGAAGGCAGCCGAGATTACAGAGTCCCTTGCATGATAATAAGTTAGGTTTGGCATCCTCACAGTGCCCTTGATACCCCCGTTTTCCCCTTCCATTTTTTTGCTAGCTCTTGTTGTTCTCTTCATTTTTCCCCCTCCATCACCGCCATGGTAATTGGCCAGCCAAAACCTCATTGGCCTCTTGTGTGTTTGGTAACCATGGGATACTGGGAGTCAGAGCCACCGAAAATAGACAGAAACGCAGTAGGCCAAACATGCAACTTTGCCCGACTGATACCCGGCCAAACCCATTCTACCCTCCACTAAATCCTGCCTGTCCTGGTGCAAGAGCTCACTGTATGCCTTTCAGACTGACAGATGAGCAGTCCACGAGTCTGATGCTGGATCAACACAGCTTGGCGTGACTCTGGAAGTTCAGACACTTCCAAACGTTGACAAACGATGCAATAACACTCAAAACAGCTTGTAGAAGCAGAGCTGCTACACAAATTGCAACCAGCACAGCACAAATGCAATACTGTGAGGGGTCATTTCTTTCGTTCATGTCATCCCTGCAATCCCACAAGCTTTTATAGTTCGATTAACATGACAGCAGGTCAGCTTTGTTTTCTGACCAAATGGCAGTGCGCTAGCCACAGGGCTAATTGGTCAAATTACAGCCTTTGTAACAGGTCTCAGTAACACTTTCTGAATTGGTTAGTGAAAGCCAGCTCTGACTTGTTAGAAGGCCCTCATGCCGCGGTGGCCTTGGGTAATGTGACACCCGGATGAGGACAACACACACCTGGATAGAGTGTCAATCACCTGATCTGGAAAATCTAGCTCTAGTTACAGGACTTAAGGCAACTTTTAATCCATCCTAGGACAGGCAAAATGTCCACTAGTTTGACAGTTCAATCAAGTAGGAAAGTCAATAGAGTGGAACTGTCTGATAATCCTAGATTCTGAAACCATGTATTTAACTGCTTGTCACAAATCTAAAAGATTTAATAATGTTATCAAGAGTGTTTTAAGTGCTTCATAAAAGACTCATAATTGTAATAGAAATTTTAATTAAGTCTCATGATATATCAACAGATCAAATATCTTTATGACATAACACACTTTATACAAGCAACCTGTATAAAGTTACAGTGGCTTTTCCCTCACTGTCTCCATATGGGCACATATTGCTTCCACTTGAAGTATAATTTGCTGAGGCTTGAATTTGTTAAAGATACAGTGGGTACGGAAAGTATTCAGACCCCCTTCAATTTTTCACTCTTTGTTATATTGCAGCCATTTGCTAAAATCATTCAAGTTAATTTTTTTTCCTCATTAATGTACACACAGCACCCCATATTGACAGAAAAACACAGAATCGTTGACATTTTTGCAGATTTATTAAAAAAGAAAAACTGAAATATCACATGGTCCTAAGTATTCAGACCCTTTGCTCAGTATTTAGTAGAAGCACCCTTTTGATCTAATATTAGATCAAAAGGGTGCTTCTACTAAATACTGAGCAAAGGGTCTGAATACTTAGGACCATGTGATATTTCAGTTTTTCTTTTTTAATAAATCTGCAAAAATGTCAACAATTCTGTGCTTTTCTGTCAATATGGGGTGCTGTGTGTACATTCATGAGGAAAAAAAATCTACTTAAATGATTTTAGCAAATGGCTGCAATACAACAAAGAGTGAAAAATTGAAGGGGGTCTGAATACTTTCCGTACCCACTGTATATAATAACATGCAAATTACTGGTGCTTAGGCTAAGTGTAACATGAACATTAATGTCAAATAAATGTTAGTAACATGCAATTCATACTACTTCCATAATGATATATATGTGACCCTGGACCACAAAACCAGTCATAAGGGTCAATTTTTCAAAATGAATAAATAAATAAGCTTTCCATTGATGTATGGTTTGTTAGGATAGGGCAATATTTGGCCGAGATACAACTATTTGAAAATCTGGAATCTGAGGGTGCAAAAAAAAAAAAATATTGAGAAAATCGCCTTTAAAGTTGTCCAAATTAAGTTCTTAGCAAATGCATATTACTAAAAATGAAGTTTTAATATATTCACAGTAGGAAATTTACAAAATATCTTCATGGGACATTTACTTTACTTAATATCCTAATGATTTTTGGCATAAAAGAAAAATCAATCATTTTGACCCATACAATGTATTGTTGGCTATTGCTACAAAATATACCCCAGTGACTTAAGACCGGTTTTGTTGTCCAGGGTCACATATATTTCTGAATTAACCCTTGTGCGTCAACTTACAAAAGTTACTCTGAGGTCCTTAGAGGACACAAATGTCGATTGTCAAATAATTGTCATAAACATTTGAAGCTTGGAAGTACAGACGTACGTTTCATTAAGGTCTCATTTTAAATAAGACCCTTGTCAGATTATTGTTGAAGTAACAAAGTTTTAAAAAAGT